GTCGTCTTCCTCCATCGTTTATATCCCAGCAGATATAATTAAATTATTTAATCATCGTCTAAGACATCATGGTACAAACGGTACCCATTTAACGAACTCTAATAAGGTTATCAAAACTACTTCTAGAAGTACTTTTTAGCTCCTTAAAACTTTAAATAAAAGCCTAACCTTTCCAAGCACTGTTCACCTGTGACCAACTTTCTTAAAAATAGAGGTCTTGCTGTACAATGCTTCGTTAACCTTTATAAATCTGTTCAATTATTTACAATTTCAATAAGAAAGCAAAAAAGTTTCATCTGTTTACAACAGCGGAAGACCACCCGGTCAGCACTTTACTAATGTTTAAGCGTCTTCTTAAAAAGGTGAGAAGAAAATTATAATGTCGCGCTCTTAATAAAAAGGCAAAAGCAAATAGAATGAAACATAAGCAAGAAAAAATCTCTTTATTCTCACTTAAAACTGTAGAATTTTCAGTGAAAAATAAGCCTCTTTAAGTGGTCAATAAAAAATGAATCGCTCACAAAAAACAGTTTTATTTCTCTTTTGCTGAATCAATTTATTTCGAATTTTAGTATTCTAAATTGAGATACTAAATTCCTGGTTTCTGAAACTGCATTTACACCTTGTACACTGATAAATTTTTTAACTTCTCATTGTAGCAAATTAAAAGCAGCAGGGTGCCCGATTACACTGAAAATAAGGAGGCGGACATCGACCCTTTGGACATATACTGCCATTGTTGCAGCCTTAAAGCAAATACCAGTAAGACGTTTTGCACTCACTACTTTCATATTTACTTGACAAGAAGCTTGGGAAATTAACTTACGAATGCCAGGGCAATCTTTCCTTAATATGCACCTATCCTGATAACGAACATAGCCCGGTATACAACCACAGAATCCCCATGGTCTACACCATTTTCTACAGTTAGTACGTTTATAATAACAATGGTCATCGCACGGAGTACAATTTATCCACATCATATTGGCTGGACAACGTCTATTGTAGACAAGTCCTAGAGCAAAAAAACTGACAATTCCTCGAGAATTAGAATTTTGTAGCGCAGTGTAATTTGAAAATTTGTAACTGTTCTACAAGCTAAAAAATGTCGCTAGTTTCAAAGAACCATTCTAGCTGAAAATTTGAAACGATAAAATCTGTAAATACTTTTTTAAAGAATTTTCATTTATCATTGGCAATATTTGTGCATTTACAGCGCGATATATAATCGACTGAGGAGGATGTTACTTTATAAAGGTAAAGCAAAAATTAGTACGTTAGAAGAAATCTGCACATAATGGTAAGTTAAACGACAGAAAAACTCGACCTGCACATTTCACAACGCTACCAAACAGGGTACAAATAACCTAAATATGGCCAGTTAAAACAAGCAAATAATTTTAAGTGTCTATTTAGAAAGAACAAATTTTGATTAGCTAAGAATTTGCTACTGAAATGATCAAAAATCGCAAAACAAAATGGCTCCCCTATTAAAACAGCTATTTTATAACACTTAGCAATGATGCCTTCTCCAAGCAAAACACTCGCAGATTGCTCTACTTAGCACCACTTTAAAATCTTGGTATCAAGAAAAAAGGTTTGAATCACCAGTCTAAACTTACAATAAAAAACACCAACATATTTACCATCTCAGTTTGCTTTCAAGGATAGTACGAATGCAGATATAGCGGACCTGGAAAATCAAGTGTTGTTTAATTCAACGTTTTTTGGATACGTAACAAAATTCCAGCTGAACTTTTAAGAAACTGTGAATCACCATATTAAGTGGCTCAAACTGTAATCAGATCCCCTTTAATAATTTTTGACAATGCACATAAAATCGCCTTCTCCTTTCATTGTTGATTCGAAGAAAATTTAATGCGAAAAAGAATTTACACATGTTCAAAACCAATTTCTTCATTGAAATTTAAAAAAAGTACACAACAATAAAAATATACAGTACATATAATTAATAACTTAAACTGATTTCAAATCTACAAAAGCAGATGAAAAAAATGACGTTTTAGAAAAATAATGCCATTATTTTAGAGCATCCCAAAATGTTAATGACAATACTAATTTTTGCCCACTAAATGCTTTCTATTCTTTTTCCGGATAATGCATTCAAATTTCCCTATAATTTTCAAGAGAATAGAAACTGGCAAGTCATCTAATAATTTTTGGGCGTCATAAATTTTACAATAGTATTAGAACATTGTTTTGTTCTCTTCACTGATCTTATCATTAGGGCAACAACATCAAATATGCAGAACTGTTCTTCCCGTCTGTTACTAAAAGCCGTTGAACTAGACTTCAAAAAAAAAAAAAAAAAAATTGCCAGTTAAAAAGAGTAACAATTTGGTAGTACTTCTAGTAATGTTTTTAGAATGCCGCAGTAAGCATTGCAAATAAATTTGCCTTCTAAAGGCTGTATAGATCAGAAAAATCTATTACTAAATACTGATTTCCTATCATTTAAAGACGTTATTTATTTTTGCAGCTGCAGGAAAAAATATTTCTGCAAAGGCTTTTACAATAGTCATGTATAGAATGCAAGACAAACGCACTGCCCATATGGTCCCATGTGGTCTAGTGGTTAGGATTCGTGGCTTTC